ATGTATAAACTAATAGAAATTACTAAAGAAAAATATAAAAAAACTAACGATAAAAGGACAATAAAAAGACAATAATTCCACTATAAAAGAAGATAACAGAATATAAAATGTGTATAAAGTAAGTATTTTAAAAGATAATATCAGTTTATTAGATAAAAAGAAGAAAGTACAGAAGACCAAGTCTACTCCAAGCCTTAGATAAAATGGTCGAGTTTATATATCTTTTACAATCTTAAATAATTACTAATTATAGTTCATATTATTGTACTATCGTGTTAAAGAGACTTGTCAAAGAGACTTGTTAAAGAGACTTGTCAAAGAGACTTGTCAAAAATACTTGTCAAAAATACTAGCTAATGAGACTAATCAAAGAGACTATCCAATGAGACTATCCAAAGAGACTAGCCAAAGAGACTAGCCAATGAGACTTAATTACTCATTAACTATTGGTTTAAATGAAAAACTATAAAAATTATACTAATAAAACTAATACTAAGAATTTTATTAGTTAAATAATATGTGTATTACACTTATATGTAGATAAGTAATAGAAAATTTAAAGTACTAATATAATACTAATATAACACTACTCCCTCCTTCGAAAATTTTGTTTCACAAAATTAAAAAAAGTTAGTAAATAGTTACAAATAAGAAAAATAACTAAATAAATATAATAATAATAAAAATAAATAAAATTCGAATGTTCTACTATGGCTAGTATTGTCACTAGAGTGCATCTAGTATAACAAGCTACTAATAGGATTCGAACACACAGCCCTGCAGTGCTATACACTTTACCCACTATACCATAGTATTGTGTATATAATGAAAATCTTTTTCATACCCCTTTTGAAGATCTAAATTTGGTTGTAGATTGTCTAACAATATTGTTTAATTTGTCCTTGTGGGTTTGATAATCTTTCCGAATATAAGTTGGGCTATATATTACACTGTATACACTTGTTGCTTTTATCCAGATTTTTTTTATCTTTTCTTTTTGAAAAATTCTTCGTTTTAAAAAAAATAACTAAATATTCTTATACTCGGGCCCACCTTAAATACTATTATTATTGTATTGCAAATAATAGTAACAACAACAATAATAATAATAATAATAATAATAAAAGTGAGGTGTGGCAGCTTAGTGAAGTGGTCAAGTTGTCACCCTCTCCAAGTAGCAGGTTTAGGGTTCAAATCCCACGGACGACGAAAGTTTGAAAAAATAGGCTTGCGTTACGGTAATAGATCTTCATTAAGTTGGGGCTTAGATTAATCTGTAACTTCGGGTCACACCAATGCTCTGTATTGGAAAGTTGTCAC